TTAAAAAAAAAAAAATACTATATTCTTAGGCTGGAGAAATGGCTTAGTGGTTAAGAGCACAGGTTGCTCACCCAAAGGACCCAGGTTCATATCCTAACATACACATGGCAGTTTACAACTGTCTATAATTCCTACTTCTAGAAGATCTGACGCCCTCCCACAGGCATATATGGAAGCGGAGCACCTAATAAATAAAATTTTAAAAATTTAAGAAATAATACTATATGCTCATAAGACTTGAAAAGTCAAGAACAGTATTAATAAGGAAAGACTATAGCTCAGTGGTAGAGACTGCCTTGCATGTACAGGACATGGGTTCTAATCCCAGCACTACAGAAATGACCCTTGTTTTCCTACTTATGGTTCTTTTTTATATTTTAAAAAGAAATAAGGGGCTGGAGAGATGACTAAGCAGTTAAAAACATTGGCTGCTCTTCCAGAGGACACAATTCCTATAGCAGCTACATTGCAGTTTAAACCATCTATGACTCCAGATCCCGGGTATCCATCACCCTCACACAGATGTACATGCAGGCAAAATACCAATCAATGTGCATAAAATCAAAATAATTTCTATATTAACTTTATGTGTATGAGTATTTTGCCTGTTTAGCATGTGTGCAAGTGCACAACACATATGTTTTGTGCCCTCAGAGATCAAAAGAAGGTGTTGGATCTCCAGGATCCAATGATTGTGAACCTTTATGTGAGTACTGGAAACCAAACCCAGGCCTTTTGCAAGAGCAATAAGTAGTCTTAACCATAAGTAGTCAAGCCATGCTTGTCTCCAGACCCATCTTCTTGTATATGTGGGCTCACCCATGCCATGGCACATGTATGGAGGTCAGGACAGCTTGAAGTAGCTGTTCCCTCTTTTCAACATGTGAATTCCAGGGACTGAATTTGGGTTGTTATGTTTGGTAGCAAGCACATTTACCCTCAATGATTCATACCTAGATAACCCAGATGCCTTTTGAAGATGTGTTTGTAAGTAATAACAATTTCTTTATGGCATAATTGTGAAGTCTGCCTGTTTCGCTGCGGGGCAGTGGTGGCACACACCTTTAATCTCAGCACTTGGGAGGCAGAGGCAGGCAGATTTCTGAGTTCGAGGCCAGCCTGGTCTACAGAGTGAGTTCCAGGACAGCCGGGGCTACACAGAGAAACTCTGTCTCGAAAAACCAAAAAAAAAAAAAGTCTGTTTCATTTCAAAATAAAGCTTTTGCATCCATGTTTAAGCTTATGTTTGGCATAGAAGACATTGTATTGTACCATACTTTCCCACCTGACTTGTCCATCATGCCCCCTTCCTCACTGAGATAAATGCCAATTGAGTATCTGGGTGTGGGTGTGGGTGTGTGTGTGTGTGTGTGTGTGTGTGTGTGTAAGTAAAATTATCAGCCAAGTGGCTGATACATTAAAAGTCCCATACATATTCTCTTACTAGAAATGCCTGCCCTAGGGGCTAGAGAAATGGCTCAGTGGTTAAGAGCACTGGTTGCTCTTGCAGAGAACCTAGGTTCAATCCCAGCACCTATATGCAGTTCACAACTGTCTGTAATTCCAGTTCCAGGGATCCAACACCCTCATACAGACATACATGCAGGCAAAACACTAATCAATGTGCATAAAATCAAAATAATTTTTTTAAAAAAAACTAGTTTAAAAAAAGAAAGTAAAGAAATGCCTCTCCCAGTGGTGGCGGTACAAACCTTTAATCTCAACACTCAAGAGGTAGAGGCAGATGGATCTATTAAGTTTGAGGTCAGCTTGGTCTACCGAGTGAGTTTCAGGACAGCCAAAGCTGCACAGAGAAACCCTGTGTCAAAAAAAAACAAAGCAAAACAAGAGAGAAATGCCTCGAGAAAGGGGGCTGGAGAGATGGTTCGGACGTTAAAAGCTCTGGCTGTTCTTTCAGAGGACCAAAGTTCAATTCCCAACACTCACATGGGAATTGGGAATTCCCTATCTCACCACCTATCTCAAAAAAAACCAAACAGCAACAAATATATATTTTTTAGTAAGTTGAAAGTTGCTTCATGCCGGGCGGTGGTGGCGCACGCCTTTAATCCCACCACTTGGGAGGCAGAGGCAGGCGGATTTCTGAGTTCGAGGCCAGCCTGGTTTACAGAGTGAGTTGTTCCAGGACAGCCAGGTCTACACAGAGAAACCCTGTCTCAAAAAAAAAAAAAATTGCTTCATGATTAAAACTCATATTAAAAATTTTACTTAAGCTGTACTCCAAAATCAAAGGACAACCTGACGAGTGTTGAGAGCTGTTTTGTGTCGACACCTTCCAAATAGAGATGCATAAAAGTATTGCTGAAGTAAGGACTACAACAGACTTTTTAGCTTGTTTGAAATACATTTACTATCTTGCTGTTGGGGTTGGGGGAAGGGAAGGAGGGGGAAATAAAATTGACTTCTGCCTCTGACTGGACAGGAACAAGCTGAAAGCTGGATATCTAATGTCTGTGGAGACTTCAGAGGGTTTTCTGAGTGAAATTGGATCACAGGCTCTAGCTGCAGGTTCTTATGTGCCACCATCTACCATCCTCCAGCAAATTGACTGCGTGGCTGATGCTGATGTTGTGAAGGTAAGCAAATGAAATCCATTTCAGCTTAGATAGTTCAACCCTAGTGATCCACTTTCAGAATAACTGCATAAGCTTCCTTAGGGCCTGTGTTGGTGCAGGAGAGCAGGAGAGCTCGTTACCATCATGTCTGCAAACAGCTTCCCTAGCAGCTTGGGTGTATGTGTCTTCCCCGCTCAAGGAAATGCCCATTTTTGAACCATTTTAAACTCTTGGAGGTCAGGCAGTCAGATGAGTGACTTCCCAGGTTTCATGGCCACTTGCTGCTCCTTCTCAACCCAAGAAGCCCTGTGCCCGGCTGTTACCGTGCGCTTGCTTAGTTTCCACGTTCTTCCAACCTAAGACCTTCTCTTGCTAGTTTCCTCACCCGTCTTAAATAGTATTGTTTCCTACAAGATTTGAGTCTTTCGTTACAGCCAGGTAGTGGTGGTAGAGGCAGGTGCATCTCTGAGTTGGAGGCCAGCTTGGTGTACAGAGTCAGTTCCAGAAGAGCAGGGGCTACACAGAGAAACCCTGTCTTGAAACACCAAAAAAAAAAAAAAAAAAGATTGAGTTGTTTGAGTACTAATAAGCTGAACTTTGCTGTAAGTCTACATCAGTGGTGCTTCTACAGTAAAGACACCTCCCCCTTTTACTGTAGGTGTCTCAACCATCTTCTCAACATTGTGTGGTGACAGTGGGTAGAAGAGTCAAGTTTGGTTTTAGATACTCCCCCTGCCTGCATTTCAGTTGGCCCAGAATTCATTCTGATAGCATCTAAAAAGTACACTTATGTGTAAGGGCTGCATGAATCCTCGCTCACCCACTTCTACCACCTTCCCTCTTGCATCAGAAAAGCTAGCCTGGGATAACGTAGGAGCTCTTGCTCTACGTAGTCCTGCCCTGTGCTATTACACTTAATATAACTTTTGAATTTGAAGTAATGACGTGGAGAATACCAGAACAGCCAGGCATGGTGACAGATGCCTGCAGCCGCCCAGTGTTCTGGAGGCTAAAGTGAGGAGATTATGGGTTTCAAGTAGCTTGAACTACATATTTTCTCAATACCACCACCAACAGTCCCTCTTCCAAAATAAAAGGAACATCAAGACATAAAATTTACTTTTATGTTAACAATGACAGTATTTTGATTAACCCAGGCCTTTTGCCATTGTAATACAAAACAAAGTACAGCCTGCCAGTAGCCATTCTTCCCGGTTCTGAATGTCGGTGGGATTTTCTCTTCAAGACTGTCCTCATCTGGAGACCTTCTGTTTGCTTAGTTGCACATGTGATGCTGTTCACATTCAAAATAAAACACCAACTATCTCACAGTTAATTTTCGTCTTATGAGGCTATATTACAGAATTGCTGTCTTAGAATGTCTTGTCCATAAACTTGAAATATATGGTGTATCTACTTGGTGATAACATTATTTAACTTTCTGTGTTTTATTTAAGGCTGCAAAAAAGTTTGTTTCTGGCAAGAAGTCAATGGCAGCGAGTGGAAACTTGGGACATACGCCTTTTCTTGACGAGTTATAACAGATGCATATATTCAAGTCTCAGCCCAGACCAGCAAACACATCAGAGTCAGGTTTCGTAATTATTAATTAATGTTAATTCAACATTTTTCTCAGTGAAGTAAAAAAAAACTTGAAAGCATAGTTATTCCCAGCTGCCCTAGGGCCAATAAAGCATTGTGTGTAAATGTTTTTCTTGCATTCTTCCTAGGCAGTCAACAGGTATTTATTAAATGCTTCAAAGAAAACAGTAATAGAGTAATTGAGTTCACCAATTAAGAAATTTCAGAAACTGTTAAAATTGAGACTAAGCAGCTTTAAAAGTAAAATAAAACTTCCAGATTATTACTGATGGCTTCTTAAAATAAAAGCAGCTTTAAAATTTGCTCATTTTGGGGTAATAACAATTGAGTGGTCTGGATTTTGCCTCGTTTACAGTAAAACTACATTTCTAAGGAGCATCCTCTCAGCTGGTTCCTTCATTTGTGTCTGACTCCTTCTCCTGTCTCTTCCTCACTTGTTTCAGTCCTGACATTCCAAATAAAGGTATCACTTATAGGGTGGGGTTGTAATGTAAACAGCCAGTCCAAAACCTCAAGGAAAACTGTACCTTACAAGACAAATGTTCACCCATTCTGATGATTGGACAGGTTCCTCTAGTGACATTGTAAAAGCTGAGTGAATGATGATGAGACTCTGAGAACAGGTCTGCAGAGCCTGTTAGACCACAGGGAAATCCTGAGCTGGTAATAGAAGAAGGCTTTTCTGTAGTCATAGGAAAGCTGATAAGTCATGTAGGAAATCTACAAATCAACACCATGGTAAGGCATAAAAATTGGATGTTTAAAAATAAAAAGTTATGTGGCCACAAATTTGCAAACCAATACCTAACCAAACTTTGATACCTATTTACCTTTGCCCTCCTCAACCTGTGCATAATCCTCCAGCCAAAAGGCATCTGAGATGGAGGAAGCAGCTGTGGAGGAGGAGGAGGAGACGGTTTTGTCTTGCTCTGTCATTGCCCAGTATGGAGAAGGGGCCCTCAGTTCTTTGTTGTCATCCTTATGAATTACTACATCACAGTTAGCATCTTTGCCAACACTAATAGTATGGTCCTTCTTTTTATACCCATGCCATTCTGTGGAGATTGATATCGGTGTCCTTACAGGGTGATTCCAGACTGATCGAGGATACCTGTAATACTTCAGTCTTTTATCTAAAACTGCATCTTCATGGTCATCGCTTACAAAAGACTCTTTTGCCTGTTCTGTTTTCTTTGGTGTGCTGAAATGAAGAGTGAATACAATATATTCTTACTGTCTTAACAGTTAGAGTTCCCTAGCAGAATATCTAATAAACTATTTGTCTCATAAATTAAAAAAAAATTAAAATATTTAGAGCTGGAAACATGGCCCATTATCAGGCAACTCACAACTGCCTATAACTCTAGTTCCAGAGGACCTTACACCCTCTTCTGGCCTCTGTGGATACTATACTCAACTTGCATGCACACTCATATAATTAAAACCATTGTTTTCCTTTTTTAAACCTAAAAGTACAAATTGCTTTCATTACTTTCTGCATCATTGAAGTGTTAATGAAATGGATTCTTGATGTTTGAATACTTTATGTGTATGAGTGTTTTACCTGCATGTATATGTTTGCTACGTGTATGCTGGTACCCAAGGATGTCAAATGAGGTTGTCAAATCTGCTGGAACTGGACTTATAGTCAGTTCTCAAACATTTAAAGTCCCCTAATACATTTTATAACTTCTTTGACTCACAAATTACAGACATACAAATATACACATACTTAAATGAAATCAGGTTAGTACTTTCTGGTTCACTGAAGAGGCTGCCCACCCCACCCTATTCCCCACATGCATACACACACAACACACAGACCCATGCCCTCCCCACTGTGCTTTAGAGCACACCTATCCCAACCCCTGGTTTCAAACACTCATATCTGCCTACCTCTTCCTCCCAGGCACTGGGAAGTTTCTCTTTTTAGAAGTAGCATTTGAGCTGGAAAGATGTTTGTTAAAGGCTCACATTTTAAAGTGCCTTTTAATTTTTTCTCAACCATAAATATAAATCCTGCCTTAAACTATTTGGCATTACTTTTATATATTTATATTATACTATACTGTACTGTACTGTATCTGAAGGGGCAGCTGCTTTCCTACTCAAGCCTGTGCCATCACCACATGGGGACAGTTCCATCTCATTTTTCAAGAGAAATAAAGATAATGATTCTTTCTATGAAATATTTGCAGATTTGGCAACTAATTCAAATACTTTCATTTAAAAAAAAAAAGTGAGGGGATAGAGAGATGGCTCAGCAGTTAAGAGCACTAACTGCTCTTCCAGAGGTCCTGAGTTCGTAGCAACTACACGATGGCTTACAACCATCAGATTCCCTTTTCTGGTGTGCATGAAAACAGAGCACTCAAGTACATAAAATATATGATAGTCACATCAATGATTTAATTAAAATTAGAATCATGGAGAGACAGTGCTATGAACACATCTGACAGGTGGTCTGGCTGTACTAACACTCCCTGTAGGAAGGCCTCTAAGAGAGTTTCCACTGAACCTTGGGGTAGAAATGAACAACAATGTAACCATGGTGTAGACAGAAGAGAGGGTGTGAAAAGTTGAAAGCCCAGACAAGTAGAGGGATGGAGACAACTGAGAATGGTATGGGTCCAGGCTACAGAAGAGCATTAAAGAGAGTTTAAGGACTTTGGTGTTTATCCTAAGAACACACATTCTTCAAGTTCTTAACCTGGAATAGAATATGCTGTGCTCATATTTACATTGTAAAAAGGTTATCCCGTGTAAAGAGGGAGCAGGAGTCAAGGACAGGAGTGGGGTGCTCAGGTGGTGGCTTTGGGACAACGGTAGGGAGAAAGTAGGTACTGTGATGAGATGCCAAGAAGTTATTGAGGGACTCTCAGAAGGGACAGAAGAATCAAGCCTAAAACTTTGGCTTCTTAACTAGGCAGAATATTCCAGTAGAATACCAGTAGTCTTGTGATTTGGGTGTGAATTGTAACCCTAAGAGCCTTGGGCTGAGCACTTGGTTCCAACTGCTGGTGGTATTTGGGGAGTTGGGAACTTTAGGGAATAGAGCCTAACTGTAGAGATAAGTCACTGGGGAAACGTTCTCTGAGATACGCTGTCCCTCACCCTTTCCCCTGTGCCACCGTGAAATTAAGACGTTCTTCAGCCAAACATTTCTCACCATTATGTTCTGCCAAAGCATATGGGACCAAGTGGCCATTGACAAACCCTCTGAAGCCATGGGCCAAAGTAAATTCTTCAGCTGCTTAGGTATTTTGGTCAAATAAATAGGGGAAAAAATAATACAACTGGCTTTTCGTTTTAAGGATAAATTTGAGGAGGTTGCCATACATTTAAGTGGAGATATTTTGCAAGTGCTTAGTGTATGGAGAGTAACAGAAGCCCCAGCTATGAAAACAACCTAAGAAACTGAGGAGCACCAAAGAGGAACTCAAGTTGGTTAAATCACCAAGAGGAAGAACCCAAAGGTAAAAGGAAAATCAGCAGAGTGGTCTCGAAACTGGGGAAGATATGTCAAGGGCAGGAATAAAGGGATTGGTAGTTGTAAAGAGTCTAATGCTGTTTAAAAGGTAAGCAAGACACCAAGGCAGTGGTGAGACACAGCTTTAGTCCCAGCACTCAGGAGGCAGAGGCAGGGGATCTCTGAAACCAAGGTCAGCCCGGTCTACAGGGCAAGTTCCAAGACAGACAGCACTACACAGAAAAACCAATAAAAGAAAAACGTTATCAATAGATAGATAGATAGATAGATAGATAGATAGATAGATATGCATGCTTGCTCACACACACACATGGCAAGCAAAATAAAAACTCCATTGGAATTACAGTACGAAGGTGGCAGGTGGTCTGGGAAGAGACAAAAAGCAATGCCTGTATTGGAGTGCCTGGGATGTGTCTCCTGAGGAGATGAAGAGCTCTGACAGCTTGCTCATCCAATGAGGGCAGAGAGAATTAGTGTTCACTAAGAAGGCAGAGGCTTACAAAGGGCATTGTGCTGCTTGAGTTTCATCAACTTGATACAAACTTAGGCATATCTGGAAAGAGGGAATCGTAGTAGAGAAAATATCTCCATGGCATTGGTCCATAGGCATATCTGCAATAGTGCCTTAATGAACATGGGCCCGGCCCAATATGGGTGGGTGCCACCCCTGGGTAAGTGGTTCTAGACAGTCTGTGAAAGCCAGTAAGCAGCATTCCTCCACATTCTCCAGTTCCTGCCCAGACTTTATTTGAATGACGGACTACAAGCAAAATAAACCCTTTCCTCTACAGATTTCTTTTGGTCATGGTGTTTTATCACAGTAATAGGATTCCTAACTAGACAGTCATAAATGTTATTCAGAACAATCCAGAAAGTTAATGCAAAAGAGAGAAGAGGAAGTAGGATTCTCAACACTGTGTGCATGCCCCTGTGGTGGTCAGCTTGACACTAGGTATCTTCCTCTGTCATGCTCCATCTTTCTGAGAAAGGGTCTCACTGAACCTGCAGCTCACTCACCAGTTGGACTAGACTGGCTGGCTGACTACCAGGCTTTGGGGGTCCTCCTGTCTGCCCTGCTGACCCTGGAGTTAGACTTATTCTACCACACTAGGCTTTTACATGGGTGCCCGGAATACAAATGCAAATCGCCATGCTTTCACAGCAAGCACTTTGCCGATGAAGCCAAGTCCCCAGCCCCATCTTAGCCTATGTTTTAGGGCTGGACAGACTGGCACAGTGCAGATAGACTTGGGGACAGAGCACCCATTAATGACTGCTGATTCATTTTCTAACCCAAGTTGCTTTTATAACACTTCCTCATATGATGTCCTGCAGAATGTCCTTTGTAGAAGAATGTTGTTCACTAAGCCCTGGCAGTGTCACCAAACCCTCCTCCCAAAGCTGTTACCATTTGATGATTCTCACGTTAAATCAGAACATTGTACCCCTTACAGGCCTGGGTTTCATAACATTGTCCTAAAGTAAACTACTTACTGTGGGATTGGAAATTTGGTCTCAGGGATTAAATCATATACATCTTGCCATTCTTGGGGTATTTCAATAAAGCCTCGGTAAACCTTGATTTGTAGTACTGTTCCTATGGTAATATTTTGCAAAAGCTTTAAAAATTCACGAAGGGTATATCCTAACACATCGGCATGTCCAACACTAATCAGAATATCACCTGTAAAAGAAAAACAGATAAAATAACGGCTTGAAAAGAAATATACTGATCAGGAACTTTACTGTAATATTTTAAGGGTTCATATGTTGGTTTATCATGACCAAAGTGAACACTCTCTTCTGGCATGAGTGTTCTTAGTGTGATAAAGATGCTTAAGTAAGTTTCTAGATAGCTGTCTAATAGTATTTGGAGAACATTCCAAAGTTCTTAGCTTAACAGAGGCTAAACTCCAAACCATTTAGATTTAGGATTCTAAGCATAGAGAAATAAGCCACTTTCCATCCTGCCTGCATGGGATTACCAGGCCCTCCTAACACAGCAAACAGGCTAAATTAGGCACAAAGGCTTCTGTTTACATTTTCTACCCCTTCCTAAATTAAATTGAGTAAATAGCTGTATGACACATTAACTGGTTTGTATTAATTATGTTCATGATATGTATGTGCAGAACATGTGTTGATTCCAAGGAACCTAAGCTTGTGCCACTCTTGCCTCCACCTCCTCAGCTTATCCCACTAGAATTGGTCCAAAACACTGAGAACAGTACCACAGGCGGCATGGGGAATCATGACTGTCAACCAAAGAACTTCTGGGTAACCAGCAGGTGGAAAGAGATCTGTATCTCAACAACAAAATACCAGGTCCAAAAAATGAAAGCTAGGAGGATCAGTTATTCACTTGTATGGATTTAACCACCCCACTTCCCACTCCCACCAGCCACCATGAAGACCTGTAAACTGGACCTGGTCACCAGACATTCCTGCCTGGGTCACTAAACCTTCTGTGGGATGACAGGAGTGTCCAGATCTCTGTACCCTTTGATCTTTCCCCATTTTCCAAGCCTGGTTCTCCAGATTTTCTGGCAATTTGGTCAGACATTGCCCTAAATTATGTGCCTTAAAAATGGTTTCCTGATAGTCGTATTTCAAATAATCTAAAAAAAAATGGTTTCCCGTTGCTTATAATAAGGAGTAATATGGAGCATGAGTATTAATATTCAGCAGAGCCTGTAAGGAGGAATACAGAAGATTTGCTCTTAAAAGATAGATTCACTCTGAAGAAATTTTTAGTTTTCAGTACTTCTCAGTGGAGAGCACATGAAGTCTTGAGAGTATTATTGGCGTGGGCAAGGCCATGTCAAGGACCCCAACACCCATGGAAGTGGCAAAGCCTTCCCCAGATGAAGTTGAGAAGCATGCCACGAATGGAGGTGTTGACCAGTGTGCAAAAACTAGCAACTGGAGCTTCCTCCTCTTGGATAACTGCAACCTGGCACTGCTCATTTACATAGACTTCCTACTGAGACTAGCTAAGTCCTCCTCCTCATCTTCTTCCCTCTCTTCCTCCTCCTCCTCCTCCTCCTCCTCCTCCTCCTCCTCCTCCTCCTCATGCCCAACATAGGCAGAACCCTTCATCAAAGTGAGTAGAGCCACCCAATCTCAGCTTCTCTGTGTCTGTGGTTCCCTCAGCACCTGTAGTATCTTCATTCCTGTATTGCTCCATCTGTTCGGTGTGTGTGAAGCTAGGAGCCCCCAATAACCTACATTCCAAGACACTGAAACCCAAGCTTAGCGAGAAGGGTCAGGAGACTGATGATGCTTTCCAGCATCCTAATCAGGAATTACACTGATCCTGAGGGAGTGTCCAAGCATTGCCAGCGTCACATTTCTCTAGTCCCAGATCCTATCAGAAACAAAACTTATCACTGTTCTAGAAAATCTGAGGGATCCTCCTGCATTGGTTTTGAGAAGTAGATGAGAATAAAACCAGCCACATACTGAGATGGGCACAGTCGTGCATCCTTGTAAGACCAGTATTCTGAAGGCTGAGGCAGGAAGATGGAAAGTTCAAGGCCAGCCTGAGCTACGTGGTGAGACTGTCTCAAAAAGCAAGCAAGACAAAAACAAAAGCATGTCCTAAAGCCGACTTCAGACTTCAGCAAGGCTTCTCTCAGAGCTACCTACCTTCAGGCTGCACAGTATGAAACAGCTGCTCTTCCTGCTGAGGTTAATTACAGTAAGGAAGTAACCTCTTAGGATGAGCACATGTGTCTGATGTTTAAAGGGATGTTTATAGCTAAAACCTGTGGCTTGGTGTTCCTACTGCTTAATTATGTTGTAAGAGGATGACTTTTAATAGGAGGACAGAAAGTAAACAGCTGAATTCCCTGACTACTCTGGCTTTAAACCAAATGTGTCAGGGTATGAATGTGGTTGCTCTGTCAGGAGACAGATACCAACTTAATACGATGAGCACCAACTTCATCATGAATTCTTTCTACTTTAATAGACTGTAGGAATGACATTGGATAGGCCTGTTTAGATTGCCTGTATTTAAATTAACTGCGCTAGCCGGGCAGTGGTGGTGCACGCCTTTAATTCCAGCCCTTGGGAGGCAGAGACAGGCAGATTACTGAGTTCGAGGCCAGCCTGGTCTACAGAGTGAGTTCCAGGACAGCCAGAACTACACAGAGAAACCCTGTCTCGAAAAACCAATAAATAAATAAATAAATAAATAAATAAATAAATAAATAAACAAACTCCGCAGCAACCACACCACTACTGAAAGATGGGTCTTCTTTTTCTCTGTTCCAACTAGCATGTAAATTATACACATTTCGTGTGGTTACAATCACGGGGTTTTTTTGGGGGGGGGGGAGTTGGGGTTTTGTTTTTTTGTTTGCTTGCTTGTTTGCTTGCTTGCTTGCTTGCTTGCTTGTTTTTTGGCTCTCCACTGTTAACAACCATAGGACCTACACATGGAGAGGAAGTAAAAAATGTAGACTGAGTAAATGAATCCATGAGCCTGGGTATGGCTAACTGAATGAAGGAAGCCAGTACATGGCTAATGTCCACTGTCAAAGCCATGATAATATGTTAAAGCTGTAGTAAGAGCTTAAAGCTTTGTGTCTCAAACAGTCACAGAAAACCAGCATCAAATTAGCAAATCAAGATAAAGCACCAAAGACAAAGAACTTTAGAGCATGTGGGTGAGAAATAACCGGGAGGCAGGTGTCAAAGACAGCAAATCTCATGATCGACGTCAAAAATAGTGGAAAAGCAGACTTTGAAACCTAGGCACTGAGTGGGAACTGATGGTCAGGAAAAAAGTTGGTACCCAAACATCTGCATTGAAATCTCACTGCTTTCCAGGAGAGCCAGCGCTACACAGAGAGACCCTTTGAAATCAAAAATCTTTTTTAAGAATTTAGAAAACTCATACCTACTCATTAGGCCATTGGTAACATGGTATGAGGTTCATAAGAAGTCATGGGTTCAAATGTAACCTTTGACCTCAATCTTTATACTTGGGTTTGCTCCCCCATATACATACATACGTACATACATACATACATACATACATACATACATACATACATACACACATTATATATATGCTTGTATACATATATAATTATATATATAATGTTTGGTTTGTATTTGGAGTTTTTTTCAGGCAGGGACTCATGAAGCCCAGGATGCCCTTGAACGCCTCCTGATCCATCTGCATTCACCTGCCAAACGCTGGGGTGACAGGCATGGAGTCCCTAATTAGTTGTACAGTCCACCGATTATCTCACTTCTTGAAGTACCCAAACTCTACTATCTACATTCCAGGAATACTGCAGACCTTTTAAATAATAGGAGTGCAAATGCTTTGTACAACAGCTGAGACAGACACACTCATTCACTGATCATTCCTTAAGTGTGGACACAATAAATGGGTCAGCATTGTGGGTAAGTCACAGTGGATTAAAAATTGAACTTAAGGCTGAAGAGATGGCTCAGTGGTTATGAACAACTGCTGCTTTTCCAGAGGACCTGAGTGTGTTTCTAGCATCCATGTCAGACAGCTCACAACTACCTGTAACTCCAGCTCCAAGGGACCTGAGCCCCGAGCCCCACTGCACAGAATCACATACACACATTGACCATAAAAATAATTGTTAAAGTTGAACTCTAGATTGCTGCTGACCTCAGAGAGCCCACTAGTTGTAGCCTCGTCATGAGATTCTGTGCCACATTAGTGTATCAGTAATACAATATTTATATGCTGATTTGGATAAGCATTATGTCCCCTAGGCTCAGTTATTTAAACAACTTGTTTCCCAGTTGTTTGGAGCCTTGTTGGAGGAATTATGCCACTCGGGTGGACTTTGAGAGTTCATAGACCCACACCACCTCCAGTTTTCCTCTGCTTTCTGCATGTGGTCTCCTGCTCCAGTCACTTGCCACCTGGGTCCCCTGACGTTAGAGACTCTCCCTCTAGAACCATGTTTCTTCCATACACATATTGTTCAAAGACAGCTAAAGCTGAGGAAATGCTCAGTGGGCTGAACAAGCACGAGGGCCAGAGTTCAAGTACCCAGTAACCATGCCCATGCTTGGTGCATGTGATGGCACACTGACTAGTGAAATTAGCGCAACTACAGACTCCAGGCTCAAATGAGAGACTCTGCCTCGATATATATGATAAACGAAGATCCCCAGCATCAGTCTGTGCCCTCTATATACCACTCACACATATACATGCAGAAAAAATGATTTTAAAAGACAACTAGCTATAGAGAAGCCATAAGATGAGAACTATTGGCATGTTTCTAGAGTTCTTGTCTTCAAAGCTCTTCACAACATTTTACCAAATCCTAACAACCTAGAACGAAGATGAGGTTCTCCCAATCTAGATATGAGGTCCCTGAGGCTTGAAATACTGATTTTGACAAGGTGATAAGGTGACAACAGATCTTAGACCTGGTTTCAGAACAAGTAGCCTGAAGTGGTTTTCCCTCTCATGACTTCATTCCACTGCACATGCCCGACTTGTAGGCACAGCACCAGGGCCCAAGGCCAACACTGAGAAAACATGCCTCCCATTGGATAGAAAACACATTCCCCCAGACACCTAAGAAGTGAAATGATTCTGATGAGCTCCTTAGGCTTGGAGTCAGAGCGGGGAGGGGTTACATTCCAGTTCCCGGGCCAGCTCCTACATGTCTGCATACTTCCATAGTGGTTCAGTGCAGAATGTGCCCCAGGGATGATGAGAGAGTGCAATGAGATCATGTGTCTCCAAAGGCTAGCTATGATTAGCACCTCCCTGGAAAGAAGAAATCTTCACGCACAGTCTAGAGCTCTGAGGTGACTCTGGGTCTGGGTCTGTATCCCACTCACTGGGTGAACATGGACCTGACAAGGAAGACTCTACCACTAAGTCCCAGTCTCCTTGCCTGCAAAAGGAGGACACTAAGAACATGTCCTACTGAGAGTGTCATTAAGAACTAATAGTGTGTAAGTAACTGGAGTATCTGAGTGGGCCATGGGAAAATTTCAGATGGTATCATGTGGTCATGCTGACTCCGAAGGCAGGTGGGAAGGAGGCACGTGGAAACCACAGTCACCTGGCTGGAGTATTCCATCACTGGCTGCGGCCCCTTTATTGATGAGGTGGCTAATCTGGAGGTACGGCCCATTCTGGATGATGACCAGGCCCAATCCCAGGCTGCCCACAGTGAGTTTGGTCTGAATCACTTTGTTCCAGCTGCTTACAGACGCCTTGGCCTTGGAGTTGTATCCTTTGTCTAAGAGAACAAAGGGAACTTGTTTCAGTGACTTATCAAGACAACAGCATGGCAGTGGTGGTTTGGAGTTATGAAACTAGACCTCAGGGGCCCTTACACAGTCATCCTGTTCTTCAGTTTCCCCTTTGGGAAAATGAGTGTTGAAAAGTATGTGGAAATTAAACAGGACAGGTAAATGGCTATTGTACAGTCCTAGCACATCATGGGTGTTTACTATCGGTTACTATCATCCATTCACTTGGCAAGTGTTTATTGATGCAAGCAGTGTGCTCTGGCCCTGGATTAACTCTGGTGACCCAGATGAACTTATTGCCCTTGTGGATCTCATAGAGGATGCAGCTGTCAGTCAGTTATATAAACACGAATTGGATGAAATAGGAAGAAAAGGCCAGAGGGCTCTGAAGTTAGACAACAAGGACTTACGTTTCACATAGGGATAGGAACTAGCTTTCCCTGAAGGAGTAAATATGAATCAGAGAGAAAGTACTAACTAGCTGGATAGCAGGGTAGGAACAGAATCAAGGGTCTAAGACAGGAAAAAAACAGCCTTCGTGGGGATGCCAGGAACAGCACTGGCAGGTGGTGGGAGGCACACTGCCTGGCAAATGGGCTGCTATCCAGGCCTACCTTAAGGAAATCTTGGAAGTAATCTAAGCTGGACATAATCAGGCTGTCGTGGTTTTGAATAAAATCACCATGCTGGCTGCAGTGTGGAGCCCAGCATGGAGAGAAGAAATAAGAGGCAGACTGCGGTCACTCAAGTATGTCACAGCCTGGCAGTAGAAATGGGCAATGGTAGAGCCGCACAGCATCTGGGAGGAAAGACACCATTCTGTCCCACACACAACTCCTTTTGCAAGGGCTAGTGATGCTGAAATTCACCAGGCCTCAGCCAAGTCTGTGTGGCTGTGGTGTTTCCAGGATCACTGCTAAGATGGGCTTCCCTAGCTTCCCATGCCCAGCCGTGGGGTCTCAAGAGGCTCATGGCTGTTCTCAAAGCAAATGTCCTTGTTGGATAACTCCAACAACTTCAGTTGGAGAACTGAAGCTTCCAAGTTAAATGCACTTACAGAGTAATCTTGTTTCAAAAAATAATAATAATAACAATGGGGTGGCTGAGATGGCTCAACTGGTAAAGGCACTTGCAGCCAAGCCTGACAGCCTGACTTCAGTCTCCAGGACTCACACGGTAGAGAGAGAGGACTGACTCCCACAAGCTCTCTCCGAACCCCATACACACACTAAATGTAATTTTAAAAGTTTAAAGAGAGCAGAGTAAAAGAAATAACTGAAAAATCAATACACAGAGTTCCATGTTTAGCCACTGACCATGGAAAAAGCAAAATTCTAGAAAACAATAAAAGTACAAGAAATGGGGGTGGACAAAGGGCAGCTGCAGGGCAATTTAGGGGAAGTGAACATGTTCTCTTGTTTGATCGTGGTAATGGTTAAGAGTGTAATATATTTGTGGAAACTCATAGAGCTGTCCACTAAAAAAGAATATCGCACTGCATGCAAGTTACATCTCCAACAAACAGTGGTGAGAGACTCCCATGTGTGACTGCCCGTTTTACAGGAAAGGCAAATCTAGGAAGGCTTGGAACCCAAAGCATCACCCTTGTCCTTTTTCCCCGTTTACCATTTTTACTTTTGAGGGAGCCCTCCTCCATTGCTCAGAGAAGGGCTCTCTTGATCCTCCCAAAGCCTAGGTTGGAATCTGTCCCAACTTCCAACAGTTTGGAATCCTCGAGGCACCAGATGAGGATCACAGGCCACGGGGAAACCTGGACCCGTCCATCTCTCTTAATGGACGCCAGGGGGCGCTATAAGGCTGCGTCCCAGATTTTGGGCAGCCAGGTAGTTGCCACAAGGCTTCAGTAGACCCTGGAAAACGTGGCACGAGTGAAAACGACTCCAATGTAGAGTATGAAAATTATATGAAAAAAAAGTTTATCTGCAGGAATGAGCAGAGTGCCTGCTTCCCATAAGTGAGCGACAACATTGCTGGGAGACCACAGAAGATCCCAGGATCCTCTGGACGGTAGTGTTCAAATATTGTTACATCAACAGCTCTAGCTGCCTTGCCTTTACTCATGTGTGTTTTATATGAGAAAGGGCCAAGAATGGCCTGAAAACAGTGAGTCACTATTAGAGACAGAATATTGCTTCCTTCGATTTCCCAAAATAATTCCTCCTCCCCCACAATTCACTCATTCAACAAAATCCACTGGAAGCCACTGTGTGGCTTGTGAGGCAGCTGCGGACAGGGGAGTAGATGAGACGGACACGAACTTTACTCTCTTGGAAATTGAATTTCCTTTTTGTTTTCTCCCCCGCTGCCCCCAAGATAGGATTTCTCTGTGTAATCTGGCTGTTTTGGAACTCACTCTGTAAACCAGGCTGGCCTCTACTGCCTCTGCCTCCCAAGTGCTGGGGTTAAAGGCACAAGACACCACTGCCTGGCTAGAACTTTGCTTTCTTTCCTTCCCTCCCTCCTCCTCCTCTGCCTCTTCCTCTTCTTCCTCCTCCTCCTGCTCCTCCTCCTCTTCCTCCTTCTTTGGGACATATTTGGTTTTGGTTTTTTGTTTTGTTTTTGTTTTCATTTTGTTTTTTAATGTAGCACTGGCTTTCCTGGAACTCAAACTCATAGAGATCCACCTGCCTCTGTCTCTAAAGTGCTGGATTAAAGGCATGTGCCAGCATTGCCCAGCTTGGACTTGTATTTTTAACATAGATGAAGGAGAGAATTTTAGGAAACTACAAATTATGGAAAATAAATTTTAGAAGATAAAATAATACAATGAAGTGGATCGCCACTGTGATGGGGAAGAAAATGAACCACCTTGCAGGGCATTCAGTCCTTTAACAAATAGTTACTAAACACCTATTGGAAGTCAGGCACTGTGCCAAGACTTTTAGGGTGAGCCTGGGTAGGTCTCAGCTTAGTCTTCTGTTACTCTAGCTCTGCCCAAACAATAAACCAGGACAGACTTTGATTGGCTAGGTCCCTTCCTGCAGGGTTTTGTGCAAAGGGACCCTCCTGCTTCATTTTGTCTGATAGACCACATTTTCCCTCTTCCAGTCTGGCTGGAATCCATTCAGGAGCCAAGTACACTTTGTCCTTTACCTCCATCTTCCTGCCAGGAAAGAGAGACTAGAAAATATGGGGATAACTCTCATCTGTGATCTTTCCTTCTTAACTGGAAAAACGCTTTAGAGTGGATACTAGGGTCATACTGACTAGGAGAAATATGTGTTACAAATTCAAGAACACTGTGCTTTCCTGACTTCCTTTCAGAGCTAAATAACCTTCTCCACCATCTCCTGCTGCTGCCTGAGGGCCTTTGCTCAGGATCCCATGTCCCTTGGGCAGCTAGTGGCCAGTGCAGGGTTATCACAGAGCTCCCACCAAGCCTAGCTGTGGCCCTGACTATATGGCTACCCTACAGTCTGATTTCTCTGCCCAGTCTTGTTTCTTTTCTATCTTCACCCAGAGATATGGGGACCAAAAGCATTCTCTAATAATTCCTTGCATCTCAACCTCTTTCCTAAAGAACCCAACCCACAACATCAAGTGCTAGAGATAACCTGAAGTATAGATGCTAAGAAAGAATTCAGGATCTGGACTACCCAGTGGAATGATGACCAATCCTTAGGAGAGCATAGGCAGTCTCTGGCATGGGAAAACTCTAAAATCCAAAACATTTCTTTATAAACGGTATGGTATAACAGAGGAAGAAGATGCACTAAGGTGGGTCATGGACACACAACAAGACACTCTTTGGGCCAGGAGGCATCAGCGATAGCAATCCCTAGAAAAGCAGCAGACCACTGCTACAGGGACAGGGCACAATGTTTGACACTCAATTAGCATCTGGTTGTCACAGTCTTACTGTACATGGGTGACGAACACAACTGCATCTTGAAACGTGTATAGCTACAAGGAATTTAAGCTGGGAATGAGGGTCTAAGCTACCCAACACGAGAGGTTCTGACAACAGGTAAGAGGGATTGTAGGTGAGTGGGAGGGACGTGATGAGAGGCTCCGTTTTGCCTCAAGATGGCAGTGCCCCTATCCAGTAAGAAGGCTACCCGAGGTCCTGAAGAATGCTTGCAGATCCTAAAAGAAGCAGGTTAAAATTGAGCACTGAGCCATAGGAATAAATAAGCTTCTTGGTTTTTTTTTTTTCTGAGACAGTCTCTCTGTGCAGCCCAGGCTGCCTTCGAACTTGTGGTCCCCCTGCCTCAGCCTACCAATGACAAGAACTACAGACATGTGTCCCCACACCCAGCCTTCTATATACTTTTCAAAAATTTTTCTTGGCTTGGTATCTAGGTACACATCTTTAATTTCAGCATTCAGAGGCAAAAGTAGGTGTGTTTGTGAATTTAAAGCTGGTCTTGTCTACACAGTGAAATTTGGGCCAACCAGTATTATATTTCATAAAATGTTTTATTACATTTATTTATATATGTACATGTGTGGACAGGTATGCATGTATCATGGTCAGGTTGTAGAGATCAGAGGAGTTGGTTGTTTCCTTCGACCATGCTGGTCCTAAGCATTGAACTCAGGTCCTCAGGCTCCATAAGCAAGCACATTTCTACTGAGCCATCTCTCTGGCTTGCATTTCACTGCAGTAGGAGTGTTTCATCAAATCTGGGTGTGTCCCAAGAATAGGTGCTATGAAGGGAATTCAAATCACTGGATCAATATGGTTCTTTTTCCTGTAGTCAACTTTATTTGAAGATACTGAGGAACTGAAAATTTACTAGCCAGACATGAGTACCACATACCTGTCATCCCAGCTCTAGGAAGACAGAGGCAGGATATAAATTCCATACCGGCCTGGACTACCGAAGATCCTGTCAAAAGGCCAGGGTGGTGGCACTTGCCTTTAAATGATCCCAACATTCTAGAGGCAGAGGCAGATGGGTCTCTGAGTTCAAGTCCAGCGTGGTCTATAGAGCAAGTTCTAAGACAGTTAAGGCTACACAGAAGAAACCTCAAAACCAAAAAGCAAAACACTTTGTGACAACAACAAAGTTACAGAATAAACTGCAAAATGTGCACTTTGTAATACAGGTGCTCCCTCAGGGCAGAGGGACTGGTCTCCAGCTATGGGGAGGGTTGTAGGTCGAGTGATCTGATAGAAGTCTTTTAAGGGTGTTTGTGCATGTTTCCTTGCTTGTGTGTGTAGGGCAGAGGTCAATGCCACTCTCCTCCCCCACCCCCTTTTTATAAAACAAGGTCTTTCCCGAGCCTAGAGCTCATCAATTTGGCTAGACTATCTGGTCAGCAGGCTACAGGGACCCTCCTGTCTCTATTTCCCCCAGCACGGGATCATAGGCACTGTACCTGGGCTCACATGGGTTCCAAGCCAGACCTCATACGTGTATAGTAAGCACCTTATTGACTGAGCCATTTCCCAGTCCTCTGCTGTCTTCTTGACAAACCATCCTTGGCTGAATAAGCTGCTTTCCCTATGGCTACACCCAATTCCTGGGGTAGCTAGCACCTAATACCTAGTCAGTACTTGAAGACTTAGTCCCTTTGTCCTGACAGAACTCAAAACAACCACCTTAGCTTGAGAGCTCTTTCAGTCTGCCAAAACCTCCTGTGCCTGCAGCTGGCTTCAGATTAATTCCATTTCCTTCCTTTCCCCCCACAGGAATTGGTCCTAAAAGAGCTCCCTAATGAATGTCCCACACACCACCAATCAATAATGCTTCATCTTGGAGACAGTTGCAAGAGAACCAACCTACAAGACAAACTGCCATTTGATCCCTGGGTATAAGCTCACCTCTGGATTTGACTTTTGTCTTCTCTAATCTAAGAATCCCAGGTACAAATATGCAACATATCTACCACTCTCTTGGTCCATGTAGTAAACTTGACAGAGGAAGTGTTCATTATCCTGTCAGGCCAAAGATGCTCCTTCAAGTGCAGAGTAATGGCACAGTTTCTTGCAGTTTTCCCTGAAGTCCCATCTGGATTCAGCCTCTTCTGAGCTGAGTTCTACCATCTATCACAATAAAGCACGCCATATTCTCAGCCCTTTAACAGCCACCGTATGGCTATTTCTGTTCTGCCTTTAAGCCGCCAGCATAGATCCCTCCTGGGGGCCTTCTATGATCTTCTGGTCTCCAAGGACTTTCTGCCATAAGGAGCACAGTGGCTCATCTCTGAATAGAAAGGTCCCAGCTGTTTTATTCAGGTGAGTGATGGGATACTTCTGCCACACAGAAAGTCTGTTCGGGAAGATAGGGAAAAGAGGCTCAAGGCAAGGGCATGGATTTCTCAAGTTCAAGTCAGCAGCAGGGCTGGAATTAGCACATACTTCTGCATCCTTTTGCTCTTCCCCCATAGCCCCTGAGCTTTGCTTCCATTATAATCTAGGCAGAGCTATTCAAAAGGGAACTGTTTTGTCCTATACACCGCAGAGACATGGAACTCTGAATTATCAGTGCTATTGGAAAACAAATAGAGTGTGAGGCTAAAATGGGAAGTGATGGGAACTCTGTGAACACTGTGCTTGGCCCCTAATAACTACGACCCTATCTTACCTGGTAGGAAAGGATTGGGTGAGCCACTGTTATCTACAATGATATGCAATCACTAGCCTGATGGAAAAGGATGTTTTTTAATCCTTCTAACACACATACACTC